CCTGCCCCTGCCCCTGCCCGCCCGCGGGAGCAGCGTCCTCAGCCCCCCACACCGAGCCGTGTCCCGACGGCCTGGGGGTGAGGGGCAACTTGTCCAGGTCGGGCTGTGGGTAGGAGGCCGAGAGGCAGCTGATCTCGGGCGAGGTTGGGCTGCTGGGGATGGTGACACACTCGGTGAGCTTAATTCGCGGCACCTCCTTCGTCCCCAGGCAGAAGCTTTTCAGCCCCGGCAGGCTGGACGGGTTGGCCAGTTTGATGTTCGCCATCCGGGGGATCAGCGTGCACAGGGTGGTGCAGGTGTCCTGCGGCCCCAAGGAGACATCTTCTGTCAGTAAATTAGGTGTTGAAGAATGAGAAGAGGAGGAAGAACCTTTGATATTTAAAGGCGTATTTTGCGCACCTTCGTCTAGGGATGTTATGGAATCATTCCTGAACCGGCTGTACTTAGCCCGGTGCAGCATTCCTGGATGTCTGAGCAGCCCCACATACAGGACGTGTCCGCCGAGGCTCTGCTGGCTGCGTTCTCTCATAGCCTTGGCACTTCTGTAAATGGATGCTCTCGCATGAATTGGCTCTCGTAGATAAATTATATGGAAATCAAGCAAGTCAAATAATTTTAAAAACAGAAAGCGATTGGATCTTTTTGCTGACTCCCTCTCGAGCGGTTTTCTTCAATGGACAATGCTTAAAACTGCATGGACATCTGGCATTTTGTAAGCAGCAATAAGAGCAGCACACAGGCGAGCTCATCAGTGGCACGGCAGCTTAAGCTGACGAGCCGCTATCCAAACCTGCCCTCATTCCTGCCTCAGGCCAGGCTCTAAATCCCACCTGGCTCTGCAGACTCACAGGTGCAGCATCTTTAACTGCAGAGTCCCGGCTGCAGCGACAGCTCACGCATATCCCACACAAAGCAGAGCACGGCAGCTACAAGCTCAAGCACATTTTCAGACTGGCAGGAACCCCGTAAGGTGCCCAGGTCTCTGCGTTTCCATCGGCGGCTGCCCCGAAGGCGAAAAACCCTCCCCGCGCTGCAACGCTGCTGCCCCGCGCCCCGGCACAAACCCCCCAGTTTCAGAAGAACAGCGCTCAGCGCC